AAGCATTGTATGTAGAATGAAAACTTAACATGGCTTGCATATATACGGACCTTTTTTTACATTGTGTAGATGCTGTCATAATTAATAAAACAATTTTATTTTATTTTTTTAAGATTTTATTTATTTATTTGACGGGGTGGGGAGAGAGGGAGAGCAGGGGAAGCAACAGGCAGAAGGAGAGGGAGCCCAACGTGGGACTCGATCCAAGGACCCCGGGATCATGACCTGAGCCTAAAGCAGAAGCCTAACAACTGGGCCACACAGGCGCCCCAAAATAAAATAATTTTTAAAAATATTTTATTTATTTATTTGACGGAGAGAGAGAGAAGGAGCACAAGCAGGGGGAGAAGCAGAGGGAGAATCGGGACCCCGGGATCATGACCTGAGCCAAAGGCAGACGCTTAAACAACTGAGCCACCCAGGCGCCCCAAATAAAACCATTTAAAAACAACAAAAACAGAAGTCACCTGTAACATCTGGGGACAGACGCAACTGATCTTTCAATTGAGGGTACTATTGCTAAACTAAAGATGATATTGTAGAAGTAAAGGGTTTATAATCATAATTTGGTTTTGACAGAGCAGAATATGCAAAGAAACGCAGACTTGCAGCTTGCATTAAGCATCTAAGTATATCCTTACCTTGTTCATACACTTGATTTGAAGGAGTCGTGACCAGGTGTGCTCTCCCCACATACACAGCATCTGCAGGCTGTCTTGGGTGAGCGCTGAAGGGGCACAAGCAAGCTGCACTGAGATCTTCTAACTGCCCTCCGTGAATGCTCAGAAATGCTCTCGTGCCGGGGCGTCTGGGTGGCTCAGTCGTTAAGCGTCTGCCTTCGGCTCAGGTCATGATCCCAGGGTCCTGGGATCGAGCCCCGAGTTGGGCTCCCCGCTCTGCGAGAGTCTGCTTCTCTCTCCCACTCCCCCTGCTTGTGTTCTCTCTCTGGCTCTCTGTCAAATAAATAAATAAATAAATCTTAAAAAAAAAAAAAAAATTCAGTTCAAACTGATGAGCTCTTCAGTGCAAAAACCAACAAAAAGCATGGTTATTGTTTGTGGCAACAGATGGGAATAGGGTGAATTTTCAATGGCTTCAGTAAAAGCGCAAAAAAAAAAAAAAAAATGCTCTTGTGCCAGGATTTGTAGGCTTCTTCATGTTGCCTTACACGGGTTCACTCACTGACACTATTTCTGAGGTGGGTATAACAATCGACATGTCAATGAACTGTTCATATACTTTGAATATTATTAAAACTGTTACTTGAGTCCATCCTTGATGTTAAAATACAAATCAGACACTTGGATGTATGCATTCACTTCCCCAGTACACAGTCACTGTATTCCCATTGTGTGGAATACACTTTGCCTCCATGTCCCACCATGAAACTCCTACCTGTATTTTAAGGTCCTTTCTTTCGTTTTCCTTAATAAACATCTTTGGCATCTTTCTCAGTCTTTCTGTAAACACAGTGGAAGAGAACACAGTGGAAGGGTCATAGGAGTTGAGATGTTTAGAAGATGGATTTAGAAAAGAGAATATATAGAGTCCTATGATGATGGGCCAGGGGCTGGTGTGGTCCCAAAATTCCCGGGCTTTGTGTGGCGATTGATGTGAAGGTCTCAAGATAGACTGGTGGTGAGGCAGGGAGTGTTGGGTGTAAGGCAAAGGTGGGAGTACTTGCTAGGAACACACGGGGTTCTTGGGTGTCCTCCTCACTATCTTGGGGCAGAGCAGACCTCTGCAAGTCAGTCTTGGGGGGCTCCTACTTCAGCTTCCCCTCAGCTCTCAGGAATGGGTTGACAAGGGATTTGAAGAAGTGAGCCCGGTGAGAACAAGAACTGT